ACATGAATAATGGGCCAAAATAAGACTATTTTTAGTACTGTAAAAAGGCCAAAAACCGAAGCATAATAGGCTGGCAAAACATGCAAAAATGGGGACCAAAGAGGGAATATAAAGGCAAGTGTAGCATGGAGGTCCCAAACAGTGTTGAGCCCTTCTTCAATGTTGAAGAGAGGATCAAAATAAGCCTATTTTTAGTTCTGTAAAATGCCCAAAAATGGAAGCATAATGGGCTGCCAAAGCATGCAAGAAAATAGCATTCAAGGAAGGTATTGAAGCAAGTGCAAGGTGGGGGGCTCAAACAGGGTTGAGCCCTTAATGAAACAAGAAAATGAGCTCAAAAAAATGACCTTTTCAGTTTTGGTCGGAGCTCAAATCAGTAAGCACGTATGGCTAAGAAATGTTGCAAAAATAAGCTCAAAAAGGGGGAAATGGCAACTCACCCTTGTAGACCAATCTTTGGTTGCTTCTTGGACCAAGTTGCAGCACCTTTAGCCTCTGAGAAGCTCTCCTTGTTGCTGGAAATGGAGTGGTGGTGGTAGTGCTTGGTGGTGATGAAGGAATGGGGTAGAACTTAGGAGCTTTTGAGAAAAATGAGAGAGATAGAGGGAGGTTTGGATGCCTATGCTTGAAGCAAATTTTTCTCACCTCTAAACTCAATGTTGCCTGCTGGTTATATGGACAAAACAAGAGGGAGAAAAGGAGGGGCAAAGGTGGGGGAAAAGGAGGTAAGTTTTCCCCCAAAAAATATCCCCCGGATTGAGATATTTTCTGGGGGACACAGCTATACAGCTGTAAAGTGTGTGTTGCAAGGAACATGGCCGGCCACCTTTTGGGCTTGCAGGTGGCCGGCCAGCCCCCCCTAGCCGGCCGGCTAGGGGTCAAAAAGGTCAAGTTCATTTTCTGGCCGGCCACCACAAAAAGGTGTCCTCCCAGGTGTCCTCATCACAACCCTGTGGTTCGAATTTCGAAATTGTAAAACAGGAGAGAGAATAGGCCATTTTTAAGAGGGGTTCAAAAGGGTCAAATGGAATTTATGGCCGGCCATATGATATTAGGATCCTCCCATGTGTGTACAACACAAATATGTGGTTTGGGGTTGAAGAAAGTGGCCCCAAGGTGTTCAACATTGGCTCGGAAGTGCGAAAAACGGATGTCGGAGGGCGAAAATGGAATATAACTGGTTGCCAAGATAATTGCTGGCCTCCCACCCTCCAGTGACCTTCCTGGTGATGAAACAGAGGCACCTGCCAAAAATGGAAAATGGAATATAACTGGTTGCTAAGATAATTGCTGGCCTCCCACCCTCCAGTGACCTTCCTGGTGATGAAACAGAGGCACCTGCCAAAAATGAACGAAAATCGATGCAAAACGAATGCTCGGGGGTCAAAACACGCAGTTCGGGTTCCAGAAAATGGGCTGCCAAGCACTGAAAGTGGCGTTCGGCCACGAAGTGGGTTTC